GGTCACTATTTCCAAGTGGTCCTGTTATACTTACTTCTTGGACCAGATCCTGCGTGCCACTCAGGACTAAATCGAGAATTGCCTCTTCTCTTATGGGTTCCTGTACCAGCTGCTCCAAGGAGCAGTCATTTAAGGTATCAAGAAATGTTGTTTCTGCATCTCGTCCTGAGGTGACATGTACCCAGTCAATATGGGGATAGTTGAAATCCCCCACTATTATTGAGTTCTCTATTTTGATAGCCTCTGTAATCTCTCTTAGCATTTCATAATCACTATTACTGTCCTGGTCAGGTGGTCGATAATAGATCCCTACTTTTATATTCTTATTAGAGCAGGGAATTACTATCCATAGTGATTCTATGGAACATGTTGATTCTTTCAAGATTTTTACTTCATTTGATTCTATATTCTCTTTCACATATAGTGCCACTCTCCCACCCACATGACCTGTTCTGTCCTTCCAATATATTTTGTACCCCGGAATGATTGTGTCCCATTGATTGTCCTCACTCCACCAGGTTTCTGTGATGCCTATTATATCAGTATCCTCCTTTAACACAAGGCACTCTAGTTCACCCATCTTTTTTTTTAGACTTCTAGCATTTGTGTACAAGCACTTAAAAACTTGTCACTGTTTATTTGTCTGCCCTTTTCTGATGTGTCAGATTCTTTTTATGTGAATGTTTTTCGTCTGATCTGGCCCATACTTTATCCTCTTCCATCCTCTCCTCCTGACTAAAACCTAGAGAATCTCTATCAATAAACTCTCCTCTAAGAGACATCTCTTTCCATTCTGCGTGCTCCTCCGCACCTATCAGTTTTCCCCCATCTCTTAGTTAAAAAACTGCTCTGCAACCTTTTCAATGTTAAGTGCCAGCAGTCTGGATCCACTTTGGTTTAGGTGGAGTCCATCCTTCCTGTATAGGCTCCCCCCATCCCAAAAGTTTCCCCAGTTCCTTCTGTTAAAAAGGAAGAAAGAAAAAGGGAAAAGGAAGGCTGGTTTTCTCTTCTAATAGCAACAAGCATAATCTACAAAGAGCCATCACAGTTGATAGCGGCACATGATGCTTCAGGTATTGAAGTTCCTAGATCTGGCTTAATTCTAACATGGCGGGGGCTTTGCAGAAAACAATACAGCCCCAATTATCAGGAGGCTTGTGAACAAATCAGGAGAGCTGACATCCCTGATATCGAGTCAGTTTCACAAAATGAGTTAATGGTTTCACAGCTTACACCTATGGACAGACACACCTATGCTGGGCCACAGGGACATGTGGGCCACTGCATGGAACTAGCAGCAGGAAGCTAACATTTTGAATATAACATTTTGAATACAGCCGACACAGTCTCCCCTGTTTGCACTGTGTAGGGTGGCCGGGTGCCCTGTTTTAGACTGGAAAGTGGAGTCAAATCGGGGACCTGACATTGCATGTTCACTCAGTCGATCTGACCAGACAAAGTCTGGTTATTGTGATTAGGGGAGGAGCTGGCTTATACCTGCGCCAGTCTCTATTCAGTTGGGGCTGCCTCTTACCTGCATCACGTGTCTGCAGCTCCCAGCCAGGCTCCACAGATGAGTCCCCCCTGATGTGGGTGGGAGAGGGGAAGGAGGAGGGGGTGAGAGGTGAGGCAGGGCAGGGTTTTGAGGGCAATAGATGGGGAAAGGGTGGGGCCTAAGGGGAAGAGGCAGGGCAGGGTGTTCTGCCGGAGTGTCCCGTTCGTGAATCTGACCAAGGTGGCAACACTAGTGCTGTGGTCTGGCCGGACAGGCAGAGTCTCTCCGATGGGTGGCTTGTTTCTTAAGCTAACACTACACTGTGACTAGCAAAGTTCATAAGTGACTCATAAAAGTTCACGTTAATCCGTGCTGAGGCCTTTTCTGATGCAAGCTGCTGCTGACCCATGGGCCACCTCTCCTCTCTGCAGGGGAGCAACTTGTGCAGGTGAAGCCAAGCACCATTATGCAGCTTTAATATTTCCTCTGACTCCGTGGAGAGTTATAAAGGCCCTTGGACTGCAATGGCCAGAACAAAACTCCTAGGCCTCATTCTGTTCAGTGACACAGGATTTGTAACGATCCCCACAGGCAGTTGGAATAAGGCCAGGACTTTATTTAAAAGCCAAAAAGGTGTGGATTTGCCCATTTTTGCTTCCTTATTATCTACATTTTAAAAGGCTCCGTTTTTTTTTTTAAAAGTAGCTTCCGGTCTCCAGTGGTTCTGAAACTGTGGGTCAGGACTCCAAGTGGATCTTGACCCCATTTTAGTGGGGTGGGAGTCGCCCAGCTTAGCATTAGACATGCTGAGGCCTAAGGCTGAAGCCAAAGCCCAATCTCCCTTGCTCAGGGCTGGAACATTTGGGCTTTAGCTTTGGCCCCCCTGCCCAAAGTGGTGGGGCTCAGGCTTCGGCCTCCTTCCTGGGATCACATGGTAATTTTTGTCACCCAAAGGAGGTCCGAGTGCAATGCAGTTGGAGAACTGCTGAAAGGATTCTGTGGTGACTCTAAAACTAGTGGGATGATGATATCGCAAGAAATCAAACCCCAAGCAATTGAGAGGGGAAGGAATTTAAATCACGGTTTAAAACTTAATCCTCTTTCACCTAGTTGCCCATGCTGCACCGCTGCTGACTCTTGCATTTTTTTGCAAGTCTTGCAGTATTTTAAATATCAAATAATATGCCCCTGATGCCAGGAGATTTTGTGACCCAAAAACTTCAGCTTTCATTTGGGGCTGGGAAAAGTTCCTAGTCCTCATGGCTGTAGAGCAGGCATGTCCAAAGTCCGGCCCGGGGGCCAATTGCGGCCCGTGTTCCGGTTTAATACGGCCCCACGGGTAATTTGGCAATATCTATCTTTTATGGCCCCCAACGAATCCATATGTATTGAGATGAATACATTGTAAAATCTCAGTTAAAGTCAGTTGGTCTAAATCAGTTATAAATATATTTGGACACAACATGTATACTTGGTGTTATGTTCCTGTTCATATTTTTTGAACTTAAAAGTTGACAGACAACCTTTATTACCAATAATATGTAATGTACTTTACAATGTTCCTGACATATATTTCAGCTTCCTGGATTTTTTTTTTCATCTGGCCTTCAGATATGAAAGGCAGAGTGATTTAACACCTGTTTAGATTTGTCATCCATGTGACGAAATGAAAAGTATGCCGTTTGCAATAAACTTTGCATAAAATAGTTAATTTGCATTTAATTTTAATGGTTCAAAGAATGTCAGGCAAAATGGTCGGCCCTCACGCATGTTCACTTCATCAAATCTGGCCCTCTTTGAAAAAAGTTTGGGCACCCCTGCTGTAGAGAAAAACTTGAAATTGTGACCTGAGTGCACCATAAATGCTCAGATATCAGAAGGCATAGAACTTAGTGCCAAGTTTATTACATCTCATTACTTTTAAGCCAACCGTATGATTTTGGGGGCCTCCCTTATTATTTGTAAAGGCTGGCCATGCAGCCACAGCATTTCCTCTGGTTAAATGCTTAAACAGAAACTCAAACTCCTGACAAACACTTGGAAGATGAGATCTCACTGTGAAAGTTTCATTACTGTTACCCCTTCAACTGGAGACACAGGCAATTCCCATTCTAGGGAATTCCCTAGGTTCACTGTATTTAGGTAACAGCAGAGAAAGGCCTAAACCCACATCTAGGTATAATCCACACACTGCTCTGGCGATCCCGCCTGGAGGCTGGGGTGTAACTTCAGAGCTCCTTCAACCTCCCCACCGGATGACTGGCACTGTTTTGTTCATGAGCACGCTGCAGCTCATTCAAATCCCTGCTGCGCCAAGGCCAGAAGCAATACAGCACTGCCTTTTCAGACTGCAAACTGATCAGGTCCTGAATCACAGAGGTACTAGGCAGGCAGACTACAGCTGGACCCGTGTGCCCCTTTGCACCCCAGAAAATTAGATCCTATGCCACTGAACTGGTTTTTCTGTTCTGGGCTTTTGCTGACTTGGTGTTTTGTATCCATTCCTGCCTTTTCACTCTGTGCTATGCTAGCAACTGGCACACCAAGCCCTTAGCCTGACTTTATGTTGAAAGGAGGAAGGACAGGAGAGCGTTGGTCCAGAAAAACAGATAAAGGACACCAATTGGCAGCCTCAGCAAGAAATGAACCGGTTTATTTCAAGGAGGGAAATCTGCTTTGACATGAATCACTGACAGTTTCATTTTTGACAGTAGTTGTTTATCTTCTCTCTCCCTCCTTCGATTGTTATGTTTTGGTCTCTTTTAGAAGCACCATTTAGCATGAGTTTCTCTTGCCAATAAGCCTCAATCTTTTTTTTTTTTTTCAGGCTCACTACTGAAGACTCTGTCTCTCACTCCAATTTGAAAATGCATTGATAGCAGCAAGCCTATTCCATAGAAGCTGTCTGAGCCAAAGGGAGGCCATAGTTCAGTAGACAAGAGCACACACCCCCTCAGGCTAGGCCATTTACAAATTAAAGTTCATATTTACCTTTGTGGAAAGTCCCTGGTGATAACACAGGCTAGAGTCTGTGAGTTACCCATTAGCTATTACATTATGATGCTGTAACTGCTGGCGGGGTGTGTAACATACATACGGAATCAACAACTGAGCCCTGGATCCTTCTCACTATTCCCTTCCCCCACCCAAAGAATCACAAGTCTCAAGAGGAAGCAAAAACAGAGCTATATATATAAAAAAGTGAGATTAATCCAGATATAGGGGGTGACTTGTGTGAAGTGAGGATTGTGGGTCTCAGTGCAGGTCCGAGTGAACAAGAGTTCACACTGCAAAAAACACTATCACAACTGGCTGCCTTGTGACGTTTGAGCTGACATATGGGTCCCTTGACACTAACCTATCTCTCATCTGTAGAGACGGTGTCCCCAGGGGAGGGTGGAGGCCTGTTGACTAAGCAATGTGGCTGCCTATGCTGTACTTGTTCTGGGAATAAAAAACTTTCCTTCATTTGTGCATGTAAAAATAACCTTCACAGAAGCACAAGAAACATTTTACTTTTATTTACAGTTCCACTAGAAAAGACTATAGATGTGTGTTCATTTTTCTGATCACTGTTCAAAGAAACACAATCGGGCTTGATAAAGAAGCAATTCCAGTTCATTCATAATAAGGCAAAGAGAACAAGCCAACAAAATTTAGTTGCAAAATTAGCAGAAAAGTATAACTTAGGACTCTGAATATTAGTAAGAAAAATGCTTCTTCACAGTGTGATATTAGGAGATCTCCATCCAGATTTCATAGCCCAGCCATCTGAAAGTTTCATTTTGATACACCATCACTGCCACTTTCATTACATGAAATGAATACAGAATTAGTAGAATTCTATTGGCCTCAGATGTGACTACAGAGAGTCTTGCAATATTTGGTACTTTCCATAAAGCCACAACTCCCAGAGTCAAGTAATTACACAAGATTCTCTGCTTTCATTTTTAAAGTTATTTTCTAGCCCTCACAATTGCAGAGAGAAGCTCAGAAGTATGACTAGAGGAAACCCTAAAGGCTCAACACCCAGAAAGCAAACAAAATATATATCTTTTTAAAAATCTGGTGATTGTTCCCAAATCTCATGATTTTGCAGGGCCCAAGGCATGATTTCTCAACATCTGTAATTAACAAGACTGAAGTAGGACTACTTTGTCTCTGCCCTGAGTTAAGCTCTGCATACAATATCTAAACATATTGATTGTAGCTGTCACTGATGGAGCATTAAAATACACAAGCAAATAAATCAAAGGCTACTTTTAAGTCTATTTTTCCTGCTACCTTTACTATCTCCATTTCCTTCCATTATTTTGACTCCTCCTCCTTCTTGTAGCCCGCATCAAATCACTGCTTCTCCCGCCTCATCCCCCCTTTCAGTTCACTCATACCTCTCTCCCTCGTCTACTTGCTTTCCCTTCCCCTTTGCTCCTTTTCACAAATAGCCTCAGTAATTTGAGTAAATTAATTAATTTATAACTACAAATTTTATAGTTATATAGTTATGTTGGCTCAGTTCATCAACAAGTTTTTCCCTGGGTTTGCACATTCTTTCACTCAATCTGATTTTAAGAGCCAAAAAGCACTTGTGATGGTTGCATGAAAGGTACTGGAGAAACACACTTGGTCCATTAAAATATGTCACGTCAGCATCTTCATATACTGCTGTTGTTGAAAAGAGTTTTCAGACACAGGTCCCAGCAGCGGCTCTAATGCTAGGGAAGTACAAATCACTGCACTCCTCTGTGAAAGCTCATTTCTTCTTCCCTTATGACAGGTAAAGCCACTCTAGCGGACCAAAGAGGCTACTGAGGCTGCCACTCCAAAGGGTGCTGCATAGGCTGTTGCTAATCCCTGCAGGCCAATCACCAAGTAGCGACATCCTTTCTGGAGAGCTTTGCCCACATTCTACATTCATGGAATGGGGGTGGTGGGAGAGACAACAAAAAGATAACATCAGGTTAAACAGTTTGGAGGGACTCAAACAAAGGGCAGCAATTTTATATGCCCTTCAACAACCTCAGAGTATGAACAGACCCACCATCTTAGTAGAACTTGTCCACAGGGGAACATTTACCAGTTAGACTAGCATAATTCAACAGATACAGTTATACCAGCATCAACTGCCACATGAGCACTCTTTTGTCTAGACTACCTAGTTTTGTCAACAAAAGTGGACTTTTGTCGACAAAACAATACCAGCGTCTACACTACCGCGGAGTTCTGTCGACATAACGTCGACAGAACTCCACGGTTTTGTCGACGCTGGTATACCTCATTTTACGAGGCATAACACCTTCTGTCGACAGAACTCTGTCGACAGAAGGTGTTATTGCCTGTAACACTGCGTCCAGACTACGGAGTTCTGTCGACAAAGCGGCTTGCTTTGTCGACAGAACTCCATGTGTCTGGACACAAATTGTCGACGGAAGTTTTGTCGACAGTATCTGTCGACAAAACTTCCGTCGACAAAACGCGGTAGTCTAGACGTACCCTTATTCTGTATCAAGGGGTAGCTGTTTTCATCTGTATCTTCAAAAATAGGCCTGTGGCACCTTATAGACTAACAGATAAGCTTTTGTGGGTAAAAACCATTTTGTCAGATGCATCTTATGCCCAAATCAATCTGTTAGCCCATAAGGTGCCACAGGACTCTTTGTTTTGCTGTTGTTGTTGTTGTTTGTTGAATAATAAGAAAGTTAGTTATCCAGTGTACAAACACCAGAGTTCTGAACTGACCAATCAATCACACACCTTATTTGGAAATGGAAGTATGCAATCAGGAAGCAGTATAGACCCACAAAAAAGCAAATACAGTACTGTATACTAATAAAAAACAAACATAAAGCAATACTTTTCTTCTGTATAATACAGTTTTAAAGCTGCATTAAATCAATATTCAGTTGTAAACTTTTGACAAATTAACTAACATTTTATTTAGAGTTACAACCAACCTCCATTCCTCAGAGTTTTTGACTCTGAGATTGAACTCTGGATTTAATCTTGCACCTTAATTTATACCAATTGAATTTTCCCAGGCAGACAATCTGTATGATAAGGATTATTAAATTGCTTGCATTCAAAAGGACACCAGCTGGTTAAAATTGTGTTAAAAATGAGATCAATGTTTAATGGAAAAGTACACAAACGTTGCATCTTTTTGTCAGCATTTCCAGTTTTGACAATCTCTCTTTAAATATTTATTAAAAACCTCACACATTTGTTTACAGCATTGCAGAAAACACACAGTAGATTATTCAGGCTGAAAAATATTGTCTATTTTCATTTCAATCTTGATGCCGTGTGCTGATATTTGGTTTCTCATGGCTGGGCCAGTGCTTTTCTGTTTATAATTGACTTCTAGTCAATTTTACTTTCAGGCCCTCAGGGACCAGCACAAGATTTCAATGTTTACATTGCACATACTGCAGTAGGTGTTTACCTGTTTAAAACAAAACTAGCGGAATACAATTTGTTTCTTTTATAGTCATAACTTTCTCTAAAATTGGATTACAGCACCTGAAAGACCAGATGAGACCAAACAACGTCCCTTCATAGACCAAACTCTGCAGTCTTCAGTCCCATGGCCGGATTGAGACGTAGCACAGACCAGTGGGTAGGGCAGCAGATTGGGACTCAGGACAGCCAGATTCTTTTCCCAGCTCAGACATGGATCTGCTGTAGGACTCTATGCAAGTTGCTGTTCCTCTCTGACTGTATCTCTATTTTCTGCCTCCCTTTTGTGTGCCAGTTTAACTATATGGGTATCATTAAACAAGCCAAACCTTCCCCACTGTAGATGCAGTTACATTGGCATTTAAGTGCTTCTGCCCTTTCCCACAACCCCTATTAAGATAAACCGGGATAAAAACTTGTATGCTGCTATTCTGTACTATTATTGTGTCTACACTGGGTTGCTTACTGACATAGCTATGTTTGCACAAAGAAAAAACCTACCCCCTAACCGACATAATTTTGCGGGTAAATCTTTGTGCGTAGACTAAGGCTTGGTCTACTCTAGCACATTAGGTTGGTGTAACTACATCACTCAGGAGTATGAAAAATCAACACAAGTAAACCAAATTTGTCTCCAAGAGAGACAGCGCTTGATCAGTCCATCAACCTAGCTACAATGGGAGAACTCCTTCCATCAGCATAGAAGAACTACAGTGGTACAGCCACTCCACTGTAGTTTAGACAGGCCCTAAGACTTACACCAGGAATGGGCAACTGGCAGCCGTCTCCACGTCAATTATTTGGCTTGTTCATAGGTGGTTGGTGAAAACAGTTTTGTATGGGAAATATGGGGGACATGACAAGAGCTGACCCAGTTAACACCCCAACCCACCCACATCTGAGCACCCAGATGCAAATTAATGGGTAACATTGAGTTACTAAAATGATTCAAGAGGAATGTTACTTTCAGAATAGGAATTTTTTTAAATCTAAATGATAATAGTTACCAAAGTAAAAAATGGTGACTTTTCCCCCTTAAAATCTGTGTATGATTCTCAGGGACTTCTTGACTCTAAATAAACTGATCATTTTCTAGATATATGGCATTGTCTTATGACTTCTTTGTGTCGGTGCAGGAAAAGAAAAAAAACCACCCACTAGTCGTGGTAGTTAATTGGAATGATGTCAAAATAATCATGCTTGAGAACTGCAGCACAAAGAAATGTAAAGTATCCGTCACATGGATTAGCTTGGTGCCATTTCCAGACGGCAATGACAGATTTCCTATCCTTTGATCTAAGTGAGAGTAAGTTCCATTCCTTCTTTAACGGAACTGGTTTCTCCTGAACAAAAAAGAGTCAGCAGGATGCTTCCTCGGCTTTAACTAATTAATTGTCTTTCAAGCAGACATTTCCCTTTCCTACTGAATATGGCAGTTGGGTACTTCTAGAAATCCTCAAAATATCTGAAAGCAATATTTTGGGATTTTTTAGGTTAATTTTAAGTGTGATTTTACAGACTTAGAACATTTGTTGGAGTTGGACAAGTAATATTAGTTATTACACTGATCACCACTTTAGTGCATATGTACTTTTCAATGCAAAGGCAGGGTTGCAGCCATCAGATATTAAATGTATCCTTTTAACAGTTGGTGATTCACCTAAAGACAACGGAGGTTGGTGCCCTACTTATTACTTATGATGTTACAATGGGGAAGTATGAGAATTAATTATCCGCTACTCCCTGACCCTCTTCTTGAGACCAGTGCAAGATTATTCATTACAAGGTTATGTGGTCAAGGGACAGGACCAAGTGTCAGGGCATCAGGAGTCTATTCCCAGCTCTGTCACTTATTTGTGCTGTAACTTTGGCCATGTTGCTTCATTTCTCTAGCTGTAAAATGGGGCAACTCATAGGAGTTCAGTGAGGTGAAATGTTCCAGAAATTCATGGCGCCCCTCTAAAAAAGGGTCTCTTACTGCTTTGCTTCTAAGACTTCTGGTGCTTTCTTGTAGTCCATTTTCTCCTCTTGTTCATCTATATACTGCAAGGCTCCCATCAGCACAATGTCTGAACCCTTTTACCTACAATGAATCAATCCTTATATCACCTTTGCACGGTAGGGAACTCTTGCCCTATTTCACAGATGAGGAAACAAGGCAGAAAGAGACAATGCAACTTTCCCAAGGCCTTATAGTAAGTCTGCAGTACAGCCAGGAAGCGAAGGCAAAAAATCCACATCTTCCTTCCCCACAAAGTCATTCCTCCTTTAGTTTTAGTTCCTAAAACCAGCATTGACCTCTCTGGCAGGGCAGCTGTTGCTTATGCTTACATTTAAGAGTTGTCTGGCCTTCATTCTTGTTATGTATTTATTTAATGCACTCTCTCTTTTTGCATTCCCTTTTCCTTTTAGTTTTGAATATGATGTTTGTGATATTTGAGTTTGCTGGCACATAGTCAATTATTTAAAAATACCTTAAAAGTTAAATTTCCTTTGTCCATCCGATCAACGGGGGAGCCCAGCTCTTCCCCATCAAAGGAGGGGGCAGGAGGGGAAAATTGTGACTTTTAAAGTCTACATTTCTACTAGCAGGCTACAAACTGGGAGTAGCTGTCACAGTCAGCCACACTGGAGCATGACAGCTCCTGCAGTAGATTCATTCTTTGAAGCCGTATTGCACAGTGGGGAAGGTGAAGGAAGAAAATTGAAGGAACATCTCTAACACATAGAAAAGGAGAAGGCCTCCCCCACTAAGAGGTGTCAACTTAAGCACCACTGACAGAAAAAAAATCAGTGCCACATATTACTGCACACATTAAAAATGGGACCCACAAGGGAGGAAAGTGGGGAGGCAGCATTTTTAGATTCTTGCCCACGCTCTGTTATGATGTGACCTCGTGTGCGTGACTACCTGCCCATGCCTCAGTTTACCTATCAGAATGCCGGGAGGTTGGATTCATAACTATTTGCAGGACCGCTCAGGAAAAGGAGCTAGAGACGCTCAGAGCATTCATACTGCTTAGGATTTCAAGCGCAGCTTCTGCGGCATCCAAGAAAGCCAAGTCCTGAAACATACATTAGGCGGGGAAGTACCCCCGTTAACACAGGACTTCAGGGACCTTTGGTGAGAGAAGGGAAGGCAAACGCTTCCTCTGCCATAGATGATAGAGAGCTAAATCCGCGGAGAGTCTGACCCTACGGCGACAAACACAGCGACCCCGCCTTGCTGAACACAGCAGGCTCTGGTCAGTTTCAGGCGCGGGGCTCACAGCAGGGTCTGGTCAGTTTCAGGCGCTTCCTAGCTTGCCCTCCGCCCAGGGGCTGCAACTCCGCTTGCCCAGGAGCGCGCGCCCCGCCCAGGCAGCCTAGCTCTCTGCCCTGCAAGCACCGGAACTCCCTGCCGCGGTGCTGGGGGCAGCAGCTTTGATCTGGGCGCTTGGCTGGCTGCGTTGCCCGGCCGGTCTGCCCCAGATGCCCACAAAGGAGCGGGGGCGGTTTCCTCGGCGGGCCGGCAGGGACAGGGCCGGGACTCCCCAGCGAACCCGGGCAGGGCCGTGCTGCATGGGGACGGGGGCAGGCGGCTCCTTACCTTGCTGTACTTTCTCAGCTTCCTCTTGCACTTGCTCCTGCTTCCCCAGCCCTCCTGCCGCAGGCGAAGCGTACTTTCTGGGAGCGGCAGGTCCCCTCCTCTGCCTGGCTGCCCGGGGCTCCCACGCCGTCCTCCTCCTCCTGCTGCCGCTTCAGGATAGAGACCTTGTCCTCGCCAGGCCCCAAGTGGGAGAACTTGGCTTTCACCTTCCCCCCCAGCCTGGCCCCCACGGTCATGGTGCCCAAACCCGCTCCCGACGACGGGCTTAGGAGTCCGGCCGCACCTCTGATCCCTTCCTGCTTCCCAGTCAGGCACAGGATGGGACTCTCGGTGGCCTGGCAAGGGAGAGCAACAGGTGGAGCTAAAGCGATAAACATTTACAGCCCATGCTCGGTGAGAACCTCCCCTGCCCAGCCCTGAGTCCTGCAGAGACACAGGCGAGTCACAGCAGCCTAAGCTCCATCGTCCGCGGGGCCTGGGCTTTGATCCCTGCCCCTCTTGGCCCACTACAAATTAGATCCAAGGGGAGTTCTAGTGAATGCTTGAGATAATCAGAACCCTGCAGGGATATAGATATGGACACAACATTTCCTATCGGCAAAAATGAGCTGGTTACTCCCAGCTTTCTAAACTTCTCAGAAATGCCAGAGCAGGGCGAAACCTCTGGCCAGGGGTGTGCTCCAGCACCTTGGAACTGAAGGGGACATTAGCATCCATGCTTACAGCTGAGTTTTCTAAAACGATCTTCAGCCTCTGCCCTTCCATCCCTGGTAAAGGCTGGGCTAAAGTTCCCCCCTAAGTTTCCACAGGCCACCCCACTCACCTGGGCTTTGCTTCCAGCCCTGCGCAGAACACACACCCAGTACACACACCCAACACATAGCAGCTGGGACAGACGAGGTGGCCTGCCGTTATTAGGAACCTCTGCGATCTGAAGCACTGCAGAAGCCTGAAGGCCTCTGCTTTTTCCCCAGAGTACTGACACCCAAATCAAAGCTCCTAGCATTTCCCCAGAGTACTAGCCTGCCAGCTGATGCTGCAATTGCCAATGTATGGGCTCTTGCAAAGACTTTGCTGTAATTCCACAAAGCAACCTTCCTAAAAGTATCCATTAGAACATCAGTCAACAGATTGACATTCTAACCCCTCATTTGTTAGAAAAACCTGGGGGTCACAGCCCTCTCTGCTAAGGCGGGGAGACCACCACCAAAACAGCTCCCTGCAGTTTTTAAAGAGGATTGTAAACCTTTAACTCCATACCCTAGAGCAGGGGTCAGCAACATCCGCCTCACATACCAGAAGTGGCACACAAGATAATTTTCAGTTGCACATGCAATGAACAGGCTCCCCCTCGCTTCCCCCCCCCCCACAATGATCCATCTGTGTT